GTCTGGGCGCAGGAGGAGGTGGGAGGGTCAAGTTACAGGCCTGGGGGCGGCTGAGGAGAAGCCCAGGAAGTGGGGCATGGTGGGTGTGGGTGGAGTTAGCTCGGGTGGGGGCGGATGGGACATCCCGGAGATGTTTGCCCGGGTCACTTGAGGTCAGGACTCAGACTTGGGGGGAGACCAGATCCGGGGGCGATCAGGTAAGGCGAGGGGCTGTGGAGGAGCAGCTTTGGGAGTGGAGGGAGGCGGGGCTTTGGGGCTAGGCTAGTGGGGATGTGGGGGCCGGTCAGGAAAAACTAGTGTGACCGGAAGGTTTATGCCAAGATGTGCACCCCCCATCTTGGCTCAGGGTCAAACCTAAGGGGCTTCCTCCTACCCACACCTCATCCCTGAACTGAAGCCTCTGGGTCCCCGAGCAACCCCTCAGGCAGGCCTCTGCCCACTGCTCGCAGGCGCTGGCCAGTGGGTGTTCGTGTGGGCAGCTGGAGACTGTCTGAACACCTAGCTCAGGCATCTTGTTTACCACGAGGTAGCTCACGCCCACCCCCAGCCCAGATATCTGCGGGGAGACAGCTCAGCAGACTACCTGAGCATTTTAGGGTCCCGGATTATTTCTCCACTTTTTGTGGCCGCAGCCCAGGGGATGAGACCTCACAGGCACCCTGAGTGCTCTGTGCCAACTTCCCAGAAGTGAAGACTTGGGGGTGGGGTAAACATATGGAGCTCTGTTCATCGTGGTTTGGAGGTTTGTGGACTGAAAGCAGGTCGCAGAGAAGAGGTGAAGGAGCATCAAATCAGGCGACCACAGTGGGACTCTACCTTCCGAGGCAGTCGTCCTGGGCTCGCGGTGGGATGAGCTCATTGATGGCTCACCACCACCGGGTCAGCGTAGGACCGCTCTGTGGTCCAGACACGGAAGCTGAGGCCTGGGTGGTGTGGCTTGTCCCGGGTCACGTGGATGGGCCAGGATTGAGGGACCCTCAGCCCAGACCCATAGTGGCCTTCTAAGGGCATGACTGGAGGGGCCTCCTTGTGGTTCCAGCTTCCCTGGTGGGAATTCTTGGCCTAAGCCTTTGCTCCTGCCTACCCAGAACGATGAGCCAGTCCCTTTTGGAACAGACTGAGTTTCCCTTCTGGGAGCCAGGAGGTCAAGGGTCACCGAGCTGTGGGCTGGCGTGGGAAGCAGTTGTGAGGATGGGGCCAGGCACCAGGGCTGGATTTGGCTTTGCTTGCCTAGGCGGTTTTTTCCCCCACTTTGGCCCCCAGTCGGACTGCGCCAGCTTTTGTTCCTTGTTTCTGGGCTAATTGCAAGGCTGTTACCAGTGTGTCCTGAGGACTTTGATTGGGGATCCTCAGCACCTGAGGCAGGAGATGCAAACTACTGGGTCAAGTGGTGTCAGCCATTTCTTCTGGGATTAATGATGGGCTGTCACCCTAATTCCCCTGTTCCCCAATCTCCCTAGAGTTCCCAGGACAACCTCCCCCCCCCCACCCAACCTGGTCCCTGCCCTTCTGTCCTCTGATTGTCCTTGTTCTGGGAGGAATAAGACCACATGGAGAGACCGTCATCCCTGCCTCTCCTGGTTGGACTGTGGTGGCTTTAGGGGCTGCTGTGGCACAGATTGGGTCCTCCTGGGCCTCTGCTGGGTGGGGGTGGTGTGCCGTGTGATCCCTCAGCTGAAACGGGCAGAGACTGTTGGAGTTGGCGTGGCAGAGAAGAAGGGGGTCAGGCAGACCTCGGAAAGCTGGGGCCTTCGCCTGGAGCTGGAGGAGACCTCGGTGCCTTATTAACTGTTTTTCAGGGAGAGCTCAGCATGGGGACACTGGGGGTAAGTGCAGCAAGTTGACGCCCATTAGGACAGGTCTGTGTCGCTGGGTGCCGAGCCCTGCTGGGGCTGGGGAAGCAGCTAGCTCTCAGTGAAAGTGGCCACCCTGGACAAGCAGAAATCAAGGCAGTTCGCTGCCTCTGTTTACTAGGGTAGTATTACCAGGGTAAGCCAGTGAGTGTGAGGGAATGGAAGGATGGGGGTCAGGGAAAGCTTCCGGAGAGCTAAGATCTGAATAATAAGAAGTTAGCAGGGGGTGGGTGGCACTGGGACGGGGAGGGGCCAGTGTTCTAGGCTCAGGGGAAGGCACAGTCACAGCTTTTGTTGAGTGTGTGCCAGGCTCCTGCTAAGTGCTCTGAACATTTTGGCTTCCTGAGGGATAACCCTGGTGCTGAGACAGAGGCCCTTAGTGTCATCCACAGGAAATTTGGTCTCCTGGATCCCCATAGCCCTCAGTTGAAGGTTCAGACCCCTTGGCCTGCATCCAGGGCATTAACCCCTCTCCCCAGGCTGGGCGCGGTGGCTCAAGCCTGTAATCCCAGCACTTTGGGAGGCGGAGGTGAGAGGACTGCCTGAACCCACAGGTTCGCGAACAGCCTGGGCAACTTGACAAGACCTCATCTCTACAATAAATCAAAAAATTAGCCAGGCGTGGTATCGTGCGTTTGTAGTTCCTGCTACTTGGAAGGCTGAGGCAGAAGGATGTCTCAGCCCAGCAGGTCGACGCTGGGGTGGCCAGGAGCGTGCCACTGCACTC